CTGGCCAGGTGGAAAGCCCCCTTTGCCCGCTGTCTGCAAACCGCTGGGAAGATCCCTGCCAGTTACCTAAAGGTTGCCCCGCAAGGGTCTGGCCTTGTCACGATGAACGGAAATAATCGTTGCTTTCTCGTGCCAAGGACCCTCCCCGAGCCGCGGCCGCAAAGGAGAATGCCAGCCAGAGGAGAATAAAATTAACCTGTTGCCGGGCAGCCCCCTGTACAGATTTCGGTCTTCTGCAAGCGTCGGGGCACAGATCGGACCGCTCGGCCCAGCTCAGGAAACCCGTTTTGCACACGGCTGCTTTGCAAAGCGTTTGGGACCCAGCCGGATGCCCTGGGCATCTGGGGGGATGCAGCCAGCCGGTTCCCCAGATTTCAGGGCTGCTCCTGGCACTGTTTCCGAAGAGAGGGGAAAGCGACGAGGGTGTCCGCAGGGAGTGAGTCGAAAAGGTTAAGATGGCAGCGAAGCCTACCCTTCCTTCTTCATATGGGACTCGTGCTAAAAAGGAGGGGGGACTTAGATCCCATGCCTGTGGTGCCACCTTGACTTTTTTGACCCCTGCAGACCTCCCTGGAAGGGAATGTCTCTGCCCTTTCCCATTGGTCACTGTTCGATCAGTTAGATCTGTACAGTAACAGTAAAAAACAAAAAAATGAGAGGTAATTGAAAGGCAACCAACCTCCCTTCTTTTTTCCCCCCAGGACCCCGATATTTCCATTACAGACAATGTGCTCCATTTTAAAGGTAAACCAGTTTTCACTATTTTCATCATAGAAAGTATCTTTCAGGAAGAAGCATTTCGATTTATAGAGGTTAGCCGGCCGGATCCGTTCAAAGTAAAATAAACGTTTCCAAAATCTCTCAAGGTTTCATTTTGCTTCTTCAGGGTGTCTGGGATTTCAAGTTTGCATTTTTTTAGGAAGGAGAACCAGATCCGCAAAATTTTATTGACCCCTGGTTTAATTCTTGCACTAACCCAAAGATTAGCTTGCTCTTGGGTGCACCGTCCTGCAGAATCCTCATGTATAAAATGTGTCCTATGTTGTGTGTTTGATAATTTATAAAAATATGGATATGTTCCCAAAATATACTAGCATAATATTAATCGGTTAACCAAGTGGAGTGTGTCAAGGAGACCATGATGATCTGGAAATGAAGTTTTAGCAGGAATAGTCCAAAGAATTAGACCTATTCAGCCTAGGAAGAGAAAGTGGAAAAAGCCCAAATGATGGGATTGCAACTTTCAAATATTTGAAGAAGCGTCATGCAACAGAAGGGGCAGATTTGTCCAATTATTATAATTCTGCAAGATTCCTATCTTGGGGTATAATTACAGTGGCCATATTTTCTTGGAAAAAATAAAGAACAAACCTGAAAAAGGGGCAAATCAGAAAAAGGTTCATAAGGATAAAAGATTTTAATTATTTTTATAACAACGGAAAATTCAAGAGCAGAACCAAGAAAAAACTTCACAATACCTTTCCTTCTAATTTTTCTAATAATATCTAAAGTCAAACAGTATAAGTAAATTTATTTTAAAAAGATAATTCAGTGTCCCTCTTTTTCATATGAATGTGAAAGAGTGTGCATTAAGCGGTACCATTGATGAGGTAAAAGTTAAATGACCAAAATAAAGGACAAAAGTGAGCTTTTGAAAAATAAATCTAAAGGACAACTTTCTGAAATAAAGGATTGTCCTTTATAATAAAGGGCGTATTGTTACTGTAGGTGACTGCATAACTAGACCCCACCCTGGCCCCGCCTAACTTTGATTTTCAGATTGGCTCCTCCTTAGGTGTAGAAATAATGCAAACATTGCAAAATACTTTATGCTGTGTGAATATTTTAGAATTAGAAAGGAGTAATGAATGTGTTTATAGCAATAATTATCTTTTTCTTGTTTTGGGGACTGGGAAACAAACTGTGGAGTCCTTGGGGTTCTCTGAGCTTGGCTGATTGCTTGCAGCCATCTCATGACCCAACTAGGGTTGCCCTGATGGTGCCCTGATGGGGCTCTGGTGATGTTACCTAGTTGGGTCTTGAGATGTCTGCAAGCAATCAGCCAAGCTCAGAGAACCCCAAAGACTCCACAATTCAACCCTGAGCTACAGATAATTCTCTTCCGTTGGAAGACAACAAACTTGAGTTCTTAATGTGCCAGGCACTCTTAATAAACCAAGAATTGAAATAGTAGAGCAAATGCTTTGTTCCCAACTCCCTAGTTCCAGGGTTTTTCAACTCATCTGAAAATTCATTGAAGTCATTTAAATAAGATCGTAAAGTTTACATATCTGGCCTGTTTTGCTCAGTGTCGAGATAAGGGACCTCCATAAACCTCCTTGCTGTTGGGTTTTAGAACAGGAGCTAACATTCATTCTGGATTGTTATGTAAATGCTTATTTGCTGCGAAGAGAGTTCCTTTGAATTCTTTTGCAAAACCTGCTCTCCTGCATTTTCATGAAACCTCTTGTGCTGTTGGATCAAGCTCTTTGAAGTACAGTATTGAAAAAAATGAACAATTTGAGTTCTTTCCTTATCTATAGTCATGCAAGGGCTTATGCCTGAATTGTTTATTATTATTTGTTCCCTAAAAAGTCTCAAGGGAATGCTTATTTCTCCATGTTCCTCCTTCTCTCAGTGCTGGTGTTCTCCCCCCTCTCAAAAAAGAAATGCGACATTTTGACATTTAGTTTGGAAAGCCGCCTCAGAAACTGCTGATGTGCAATTACAGAAGGATCCGATTCGTTATAGTTCTAGGACTGCTTTCCCAGAATTTTAAGAGTCGAATATTTTTGGTTTTCTAGCTCATGGCCACGGTGCAAAGGGGGATAATATTTACGCATTCCAGATTGAGTTCCTGGAACCAGTCAAACCCCAGGTAAGGGTTCATCTCTTGCTGTCTAGTGAACAAATATCAGTGTGTGAAAAAGTACCCGTGGTTTTTTGGGGGACTTCTGGAGCTCAGCTGATGTATCGCTTTTGAATTGTCTGCCACTTAATTTACGCAGACCTAGCAATACATCTCTCCAGGTTAACCCACAGGGCCAAGTTCACACATTGAGGGTGGTTTTTCAGTGATCACCAAATGCCCTGAAGCAAAAACGGGCTGGCTTTGCAGAAAATGCTGAGCAGGCCTCTCCCCCACCTGACCCACATTGTGTTAATCCTAAGCCAACTTGGCACGTTGCATGAATGAAGTCAGTTGGTCTTTAACTCACCTGGTTAAGCATTAGCAGGACACCAATCACGTGTTAGCACAGGAGTGACCTCAGGATAATTGTTGACCTACTTTATCTGATTTGCAAGATATCAGTTAGCTTAGTGTTTCTCAACCTCAGCAACTTTAAGATGGATGGACTTCAACTCCCAGAATCCCCCAGCCAGCCATGCTGGGGAATTCTAGGAGTTGAATTCTGGCTGGGGAATTCTAGGAGTTGAAGTCCACCCACTTAAAGTTGCTGAGGTTGAGAAACTCTGACCTAGATTACTTAACATGCACACACAAATTATTTAAAGAGTATCAACAATTAAATAATTCATGGCACTATTCCCGTTGGTCTTGTAGGAAGGTAACGTTTTGCATCTGGCTTTTTGAAAAACGTATTTCTGCACATTTGGGGTTCCAGAAAGAACCCGGGTCTTCGGTAATGTTGCAGCAAAAGTCCTCCTTATCAGATATCAGCTCTCCTCTACAGACCCCGGCTGGTTTTTCCAAGGCTATTGTGCCCACCGCATTTGCAGAATTGGATCTAGGTTTTATTTTCCCCTCCTGAGCTTTCGTTCTTCATGCAAACGTTGGCCTGACTTGGGCTCCTCTTCTGGGGTCGGGCAGCGACCGAGATTCCTCTTGAAGGAACGCTGAAACGATCAAACCGCTCTGCCGATAGAACCAGCTCTCTCATGTTGCTCAATCATTCTTGAGCCCCTTCCAGAAATTCTGGTCATTCGAGCCTATCCCGAATGTGGCTTATGAAATTCGCCCACTGAGAAATTCAGTCCCGGCCTGCTCTAAGGCAAGACTGCTTGATCAGCAAGAAGGGCAGGAGTCTTGAGCCTTAGGGATGCGCCCAGGTCTCTTCTCAGCCTCCTTTCTCCTCCAGTTGCCATGGGTGAAACTCGGCAGCCTTGGTTCCTTTGGGGTTTAGAGATGGGGAACGCAGCCCAACGCTTGTGGAATCTTTCAAAGAGGCTCGATTGGAAAGGGACACAAGACCAAGCCAACTGTACTAAAGAAATGGACCGAACCCAGGGGGGGAAAGATGAAAATCCTGACCGTGCCCACTTTCTGTAACCGCACCCTCTTCAAGGGCAACTCGCCAGCCCCCAAACAGCTGCCTGTTGCAGGGTGTGTGTGTGTGTGTGTGTGTGTGCGCACAACACCTCTGGCACAGAATAACCTGGTTCCTGGAGAAGCAGTTTGTTTTTCCTGACCTCAGTTGTTCAGGGAACTAGCCTTTTCTAAGGCTAAGGAAGGCGCTTCTAGAGGTTTCCTGTATATCAGTTGCATGCTGTAAATCTCTGCAACAGAAGATTTTGCTTGCTTAATGGCCTTTTAGAGCAATTAACTGCTTGCTCTCGTTCTTGAGGAATTCCACTTTCTGGGCTAAAAGCTTGGTTGTAACAGTAGAGGCTAAAACCTTTCAGAGGGGAGGCCATCCATCCCTCAGAGAGGTTCCTCATTGCAAGATGCAACGAATACATCAATTCAAAAATACAGTAGGCAGAATCTCTCAAAACTGCCAAATCTAGTAAGAGTTATGCGATTGCATGAGATCACCCCATGTGGGGAGATCTTAGCCACCTTTTCCCTGGAATTACAGAAGAACTCAGCCTTGTCATTCAAAGCTCCACATGGTTTCGTCAGACATGCCCCAAAACCTACAAGATAGGATGATCCGGAGAGATTTCCAACACCTTTAATTATTTTTGCATAATTTTATATTTAATTGTACAGTCACACAATAGGCAGATTGTTTCTATGTCAGTGTTTCTCAACCTCGGGAACTTTAAGATGGGTGGACTTCAACTCCCAGAATTCCCCA